ATATATTTGTGAAATGTGAATAGAACTTGTTGATAAGTTTGCTTGATCTGTGCGATTGATGTTCAAATCGGGAGAATCTGCAGCTCGACAATGTCATTTCTCCAAGTTCGGTTCTTGTGGGTCAACGCACCTCCATTTGATAATGGGCAGCATCATTAACTCTCGCCCTCTGCCACACATATGAACACACTCTTTCCGCCTCCGAGTGTACCCCAATTTGTTTTTGACAACACACTCGGATCAGCTTATGTATCTCTAGGCTTCTGCTGACCACATATCACACTAACATCCGATTTCACTGAAACCTCTCGCCCGCAGCTGCGTGACGCATCCAAAGCCACCTTCAAGAAGGGCGACTTTTACGACCGTGTGCGTACGCGTATGTTCGAGATGCATCCTACACGCGCATCGCGCATGCAGACAATCCGAGCAAGGAACCTCATGTACTTCTTCGGCGTCAATTATATACTGACAACGCTGTACGTTCTGCTGACCGAGGCCTCGTGGAGTCCACTGTTTGTCGCCATGGTGGCCCTGTGCAATCTGTCGTCGTGCGTCCTGTCTGGATTCGGCCACAACTTTTCGCACGTGGCGAACTCCAAAATGGGCCTATTCCTCGATCTGAACGGGCTGAGTAATGCCGAATGGAATCTGGAGCATCTGTTGTCGCATCACATGCACACTAACTCAGTCCTAGATCACGACCGATACTCAATGAATCCATTCATCACCTGGGGGGAACAGGTTAAGGGGAAGAACCTTCTGGGCACCATTGTCACCACCGTCACGCTGGCAGTCATTTTCTTTATTGGCGAGTCGGTCGTAGCTCTCAACGGTAATATTATCCATCGCTTCCGCCACAAGTACATCCTGTCGTTCCCCGGGGGCTTCCTACTACCCTGGATATTTCCCGTAAAGCTGGCCATGTTCTTCCTGTTCCAGGGCTTCTGGGCCGGGCTTGCCATCAACCTGTCGAGCATGCTGTCTGTGTCGTTGTACTTCACCATCCTGGCGCATTGCACGCATATGAGCGAGCCGGCGCTAAGGGCCGGTGGATTGAACTACGATGAATTCGGCCGCGTATGTCTCGTGTTTTCATTCGCCTCTTCTGGTTCGTACGCTGTGGCTATTCCAGGCACGTTGTGACTGTCGCACATGTAGATTGAGCATTGGTATTTTGCAAGTTTAATTGCTCGGTCGACATCGTGAATCTTTCGTATCCTTTATTTCTCTCCTCGGCATTGGTGGGAACGAAGGTCTGGAAATATCACTTGTACAATTGCGGTGATATATTTCTGCGCACGAGTCCTCACATTTCTCTCTTTTTTTTGGGGGTGGGGGTGGGGGGGGTGTTGTGTGCGTAGGCTTCACACGAAACCATTAGTAAAGGATTGGATTGGGGACTGACGCAGTTGGCCACGGCGAGAGATATCAAGAATGTCGACATCCCCATCCTCAATAATTTCTTAAGCCACAGAATAGTGCAACAGATTAGTTCCGCACTATTGCTGGGTATCGACAGGCAATCGATGCATCATCTGTACCCACCACTGGATCACTCTATCATGGTATGTTAGCCATACATTAATCATTTGGCGTGAAAGAATATTATATCCATCTATTCACTGGTGTGATCAACACGATTGTGAAACTGCACAGTTCGCTCTAGCTGGTACCACTGACAAAACTGTACGCTGTTGCTGTTTTAAGTCCATCATCCCCTTTGCACGGTGTTCTCATACCTTCAAATATTTCGTTCTCCCTACCTACACAGCAAGATGAGGTTCGAGCCATGGCGTTAGAAGAGATCAATGTTGAACGAACCCGATTACCAAAGATGGCTCTAAGTATGTTCTATCGGAGAATTCTCAGATCACGATCACTATCTTGTCACTTTCTTGTCGTAGACGTGTCAGTTGCGCATGTGCCAACGCGTGCCGGTGCATTGACCTCCTCCGTTGGCGTACTCTCAAACCCTTTAATTTCAACTGATATCCTTCATAACCCATGCCACATATTGGTATTATTTGTATGCTTATTGCCACCCAGGCCTTGTGTTGTTTGTACTCTAAACGGCACTCAAGACTAACCCTGTATTGCCTACCACAACAGACGGCGCCAGTGAGGCGGAAGTTGAGCGCATGGCCAATCTATTGGACGAGTGTGAGCAGTCGTTAACGCCCATCCCCTTCCCAGTGTTGTTCCAAAACCTGTACGACGTTGCGCATGGTATTACTGTTGAGCAATTGCTGAACACGAAAAAGGAGGTATAGAGCGGTCGACGTATATCGCCCGGTAGCGAAATTGTATTTAGTTACGTGCTGATATACATACGACGCATGTATTCGAGTGCATCTAGCATTGGTATCACCACGAGTGAAAGGATGTGTACATTTTGGGATTGAAAATAAACAAACCTGCCGGTCTGAACCGCTGGATTCTATATGGTACGTGTTGATATTACATATGACGCGTGTATTCGCCTGCATCTAGCATTTGTATCACCACGAGTGAGAGGATGTGTACATAGTAGGATTGTATATAAACTAACCTGCCGGGTTGAACCTCTGGTACGTTTTGATATACACATGACTCGTGTATTTGTCTGCATCTAGCATTTGTATCACCACGCGTGAGTGGATGTGTACATAAAAGAAATATACATGAATAAACTTGCTGGTTTGAACCGCTGTCTTGTATATGGTACGTGGTGACATACACATGACACGTGTTAGTCCTGCATCTAACATCTGTATCGTTGAGGATGGCAGATTCGGAATTTAGCTTATTTCATCCGAGTTTGCATTTCTAAAGACTGATACTCATCTGACGCATTCGAGTGCGTGTCGCATTATTCCCACCACGTGTGTGAAGATATCTTTGTTTTCGTTTTTTGTTATTTTTTTTTGCAGTAGAGGGTGGATAGATATGCGCACACGCGAGGAATGCAAACAAATGGAGTTGTATTTTCAAATTTTCGGGGTGCAGTCTATGGCAACACCGCCGCAACAGACATGGCTCGGTCTCACAGAATGGGACTAGGACGATGAACTCAAGACCCTTTGCGTCACTGTGGAATCCAGTCTCCTACCAGATGTACTAGAGGTTAACGAGATACACGATTGTGCACCAAGGTCATGTTATGAGCGCTCTTGTTCTTGTATTCTCTATTTGGCTGCCGATGCCACACGAGCCGCAAAAAACACACGTGGAGGACGGTTGTAGCTTGGCGTACACAACAATCCAATGCCTATTGTCTGTGTCCAGTTTTCACATATATGTGGGGTAGGTAGCTATGCAAACAACGGTCTCTCTTATCGGTCTGCCAATGCTCGGTCACGGGTGCTGATGAACTCATAATCTACAACTCAAATCCGCGAGTATCGAAGGCTGTGGTCCTACCTACGTAGCGTGAGGTACTACTACACACAACCGATACACTCCATCCTCCACAAGACACGGTTAAAACTTGTCTCAGATGGCACAGAGCACCACATCCTGATGAGCAGAAGTAACAAAACGCTCTGATAAATGGATAATACAGCGCGACCAAGGAACAGTCATGACAATGCCAAGACAAATGAACGAGAAAGATACATAACATGATGGAGCCTCGTAGTATGTTCGGCACAGATTCGGAAGTTCGGCGACGTCGCACTTTATACACCCATTATCGCACTGCGAGTCTTGCCTTACATTTGCATGAAACCATGTTTTACCATAGGCCACTGGGCGCGCGGACAGTGTGTTTTTGCCTGGGATTCTCTGAGGCAGTGTCGTTTTATACACTATTCTGTACAGTGAGCCTTGCATTCCTCACAGGCAGATAGTGAGCCCCAAGCCCATTGCCTTGTACGAGTCTTGAGATTCTCTGGTACAATCAAGTACAGCTAATCATTGCCAAGAAATGAGCCTCACGTGTTCATGGGGCCATAGCCATGGCAAAGCTCAGTGTGCAACTTATTGAACAGCAAACGGCTCATAACACGACAGGCATACGGCTAAGATCTAGAGTGCGGCAAATACTCAGGATGGCGGTATTCTAACAGTATGATAGTTAATAATACGATAATAGTAAATAGGCATTCTACAGGCAACTATGAACAGAGTAAAGTTATAGAGTTCCTTAGCCCGGCAGCGTAAAATGCGTTTTATAGTACACCGGCCTTGTAGCATGTGGCAAAACTTATTGATACATTCTATACACACACACACACACACAAACATAGTATATATAAATAAATAAATAAATAAACATTTATGCATATATATATATATAGATATATATATAATTATATTATTTGTTTATACATACATATATATATATATATATATATATATATATTATATATATATATATATATATATATATATATAATATATATATACTATACTATANA